CTATCACATTTGGGTTTGACAATATTTTACGCATTATTTGTTATTTGAGATGCGTAAAATATGCTATAAAAAATAAACATTGAAGTGGAGGAGAGGGGTTTAAAGCTTAGCTTTGAAGTCAGTACCCAATTAATGTTTACAGAAGACTGTTCCGCGGTAGCAAATTGTTGAATATATTACATTTCTATTTTTACATTGTACAGAGTAGGAGCAAGATTAATAGAAGCTTGGAAATGGAGACGTGGCATGATTTAGCTAATTTATACACAAGCTTGTCACAATGGCGTGATGCTGAGGTCTGTCTTTCAAAATCCCAGGCTATCAATCCTCATTCTGCTTCTAGATGGCATTCTACAGGTATATTGCTACTAATATATTTATGTAATACTGGTACTCTTTCCATCTTGGATGCTTATATTGATGCCTTTATTACTTCCTGATACTCATTTTCTCTGGTAGCAGAGAATCTCAGTTCTTGAAATATAATTTTAAAGTACAAAGTGAAGTCGCCATAGGGTGTAACTTTCGGACCAAATTATTCAAATTTGAAGTGCTATCTCTCTTTCATCAGCCTTCACTTCTAGCTTCCAGTAATGGAGTGGCAACTGCTTCTTTCAGTACTTATACAAAACTGTTGCTTCAAATAATGAACTTGTATTTTGATCTTGATCCTAAAAAACTTGCATAGAAGTTTTCCAAGTCATTTCTCTTGAAGTCAGTTTGAATAAAAACTTTTTGCCATTTTTCTGATCCTCCCCACATTGAAAGGAAACCATAGTACATTAGATGTTGAAAGACCAAAAATATGTTCAAAACTAGGTAAGGACCTCTTGTTATGGCATTTAAAACTTGGTTATTTTGCTAGGTTTATTCTATGAAGCTAAGGGTCTCCACCAAGAAGCCTTAGAATCATTCAGGAAGGCATTAGATGTTGAACCCACTCATGTCCCAAGCTTGATATCCACTGCCTGTATTCTCAGACAGTTTGGCGGGCAATCATTGCCAGTAGTCAGAAGCTTTCTCATGGATGCACTACGACTTGACAGAGGAAACCCGTCTGCTTGGTACAATCTCGGGCTGCTCTACAAAGCCGATGCGGGGGCATCAGCACTGGAAACTGCTGAGTGCTTTGAGGCAGCAGCTTTCCTTGAAGAACATGCACCAATTGAACCCTTCCGATGACCACCTATACTTCTAAACCTTCTAAACTATGTATGATTCTACTGCACCTTCTAAACTATGTATGATTCTTCTGCACCTTCTAAACCATGTATAATTCTTCTGCACCTTCTAAACTATGTATGATAGTCAATCAACGAGCGGTTTGTCAATTATACAAAAAGGTGAAAACATAGAATATGAAAAATTGTACCCTTATCTGTGTTGAATTTGCTTCACCCGAAATTATATTGAGTTCTAATCTATTGCTCTACCTTGCGACCTCCTATGCACAAGCTGTTTGTTTGGTGTTTTTGATTTCTTTTCCTAAAC